TGAAGCAGCAATATGTAGAACAAAACGGAATAGCTGATTAACTTCGGATTGTTGGATATTCATACACATCAATACATTGATAACATCACAATTATACAAACAGTTATATTACACAAACATTATCTTATGTTAACCACTCAAAACAGTACTTCCTCTACCCAATGTTGTTCTGAACAGAAGTTAATGATCCGTTCGCAAGAACATATCCGGCTTAAAATGCCTGGTGATGAAAAGATGAATGGAACCTTTAGCAGAGGGCAGTATACCTATAATGTAAAGTTCTTACGTTTTCGAATATGGATTGTTTTCCCAGAGCGGACTTCTTTTCAGATAACATCTTCACCTGAATAAAATGAAAACAGGAAAATACATAGAAACGGCTAGTCGTAAGTGGCCGACCGGAGACAGGCCCACGAACGACTAGGCGGTTATTTGCATTGCTTCGAGGAGATAAAATAAGTGAAAGTAAATTGTTTTGTTTTATAGACAGTGTTCGTTTTGTTTACGGCTTTGGATAAATAATTTGAAAGTAATCTGACATGAATGAAGCAAAAAATGAAAGAATGAGCATAAAAGTAACTTCAATTCTGTAACGACAAACTGGTTGAGTAGCTGACCGCTTCTCACGGTATCGATGTTTATTGACTACTATTTGTAACTATTGTATGGGATATGTCTATACCTTTCTCGATCAACGTGAATCATTTCAGGCCTGTGGAATGATACTCAAAGTTTCTCTGTTCTTTCTTATGCATCACGCGGAGAATCAACCCTATTGTTTTCTCAAGGACATGGAAAGATGGATTTTTTTACGTATTATGTGGATCGTCTTCATAATGAAACATTTATCAAAAATACATCAGCTCTAGTACTTCATTTTTTGTTTTTCTTTTTGATGTTTTTGTCGTGGTCAGGATTGAAATAAAATGACATCGAACTGATTAACAACCGTTGTGCTATTGAGAAAGAATAAGTGATCATACTAATAGTAACACCAAATCTGATGAAGTCACTTGAATTTTCCTCGTTGGAACTGAGAATTCGATGGCATTTGTCTGATATGTCCAAGCAGGAGTTACAGATCAAATTTTCCATTCTCATTCAATAGTATAGTCTATCAAGGGTAATAAGTTAAATATTGAGAGAATTATTTAAAGTAATAAATGAGATTCATCTTTATATGATCATAATTATTTTTAATAAGAACATAAACAGTAATCAGATGTATCAAGTAGACATTGTTCAATTATTTTCTTTGCTAATAATGAAGTAGACAATTTATTTGATAGAATATTTTCTCAATGAAGTCGGTGGGAGTCTTTTTATGTCAGATTAAAAGGCCCAAAATGTTCAGCAAAGATTCCTACAGGTTGGAGAAGTGTTTCACCATCTTACACAACAGTAATGGATTGCTTTGAATTTACACACAGCCACAGATTGATAGTTAACATATGACACATCGATTGTAACGCTATCCACCCTCACCCTCATTACATTGATGCTCTAGATCTCTATTCTTGAATTTTTCGCATTAAAATGCTTTTCTGGAAAGCCAGCTTCGAAACTTATAGAATTTTATCACTAAAACCTTACTGGAAATAGGTGAATTACAAACAATTTGGAAAACCTTTTCGATAATGCTGATGTGAGAAGAAAATATTTGATGACCATTTTGCTTTTTCTGTATGCTATGAAAATTGAATCGTACGCTGTCTGCGATCGTTTTTGACATGATAAATGGGTTAAATCTCGCTCAAGTTCAAAGGATTTATTGATATTTTTTTCGAGTACACATAATATTCGCATTGAAATCCCAAATTTTGATATTGATTTGAAAAGAAACAATAGGATTAGGTTTTTTCTTTAATTGATCGATCGGTGAATGAAGAAGATTTCGCACGAGGAAATAAATATGAAAGACCAACCTAAATGAGAAAAAGATTTCTTTAACACGACAAAGAAATGAATCGATTTTTCAAACTCTTTGATTTAATTGCGAATGAAGATCATTGGAAAGTCCATTATGATCTGGATGAATAATATTTGTTGGTGAATGAGTAAATGGAGATTTGGGATTCGAAAATGAATGAAATGCAGATAAACGTGTTGGTCTCGCACTTAAACGTGAAGAATTTCTTAATGAAATCAAATCTTAATCGAAAATAATGAAGATGAATAATCTTTTACTTTAAAATACTTGATGAATCAGGAGATATCAGATTGGATTTCGAATGAACAAACAAAATGTCGCCTAAAGATTTTGGTGTAAAGAGATTTGATTTGAAAAGATCAAAGAATTACTTGATGATTGATCTGTGTTCATCGAATTTGGATTTCGAAACCAAGCGATCGACTAAAAGATACGAGTGGAAATGGGATTTGGAATTGCAATGTTTTTACTTGTCCATTTGGTTTCGCTAAGATAGTGAGACATTCAGGTCCATTTTCCCATTTTCTTTGTTCTTTCCAAAGAAAAACATGTGGTGGTTGAGGAATGATATCTTTTGTTTGTCCACACCAAATCTGAAAAGAAGTTTGTTGATTTAAATTGAAATTTCATGTCTCTTACGGTAATTGTTTGTCCAGGTTGAATTATTGTATTAAATGGAAAACGAAAACGACACAAAGGTTTCGAAGGTGTATTTTGTTGAATAAAATGTCCACTTAAATCATATTCGTCGGAATTTGATACATTCAATAAACGAAGATAATCACCGTTTTTTGGTTCGATTTCATGAATACGAATATTTGTTAAAACTCTAGACGAATTTACCAAAAAGAAATTCACATACTTTAGATTTTGTCGAAATATACAAATATGTTCTTTAATAGTTTTCCGAAGAACCGTTCACGTACAAAAAAACTATTTCACTCTTAGAGATAATTCTCATCTTCGAATTTCACTGAGATATCTTTAGAAAGTTATCTGAGAAAATTTACTTTCCATTCATTGACGAAAGTTCGGATTGATTGGATGGAAAAGGTAAAATCGATTCTTCAGAATTTTCACTTTCTAAATAAGAAAAAAAAACGATTTTTCTTCTGACTTGGAAAAGAGAAGTGTTTAACTTGTTTCTTTTGTTAATCGTTGGTTGAGAAGACTTTTTTCCAAACTAAAACTAACTGATTTGGATAATTTCAATCTCGTTGAATGATCACTTTTCTTCAAATTTTCATTTGTGGAATGAATTATTGGTGAAACTCTTGTTTCTTTTTCTTCCAGAGGTTGTCTTACTCCATCTGTTGTCGTTCTAAAGAAGAAGAAAAAAGAACGATCAGAATGACGAGAATACTCCAAAGAAATTTTTTTACTCATTTTGTTCATTGGTAATTTGATTTAAAAGATTTTTCATATTTTGTAATTCATCGAGAATATTTTCATGTGTTTTCGACACAACAACCATAAGATCTTGTAATTTGCCATGAATTGATTGAACAGAAATTAATTTCTCTTCCAAACGTTGAACAAACGAAACAAGACGTTTAATTGTATTTTCATTGACCATGATTTTTGATAAAAAAAAATTCAAAACAAGTTAGTTTAGATTTGTTTCGAAGAACGAATGAAACACATTTTTTAAAATGATTTCTTTTCAAAGTGAGTTAATGTGTGAAGAAAGTAACGACACACAGTAACAATACCAACAAATGGTAACTAACTTTAGAAAAAGAAAAGAAAAAGAAGAAAATTTGTTCTTTTACATAAGATGAAATGGAAAAAAATGTCATTTCAATGGATTATTCAAGTTTATACAAATGTTTTGTTTATTTAAAAACAAAATACAATTTTATGTCATAATATCGTTGTATTTCTTTTTTGTCTTATTTATATTTACGATTGAAAAAATATTTTAAATTATCGTTTTATTTTCTTTCAAAAAAGATAAGTTCTTTCGTATTTAACAAAAAGTAAAACATGACTTTTCTCAATAATCCATTCACGTAGTTTTCAAATCATTGCAAAGATATTTCACTCAATTGACATTCAGATATTAAGAGAATCTTTGTTTTATTCTTTCTAATTTACCTTTTGTTGATCGTTCTATGACAATTCCTTGTCGACACATGTCTTTTTTTTTCAAAATCTTCTGTATTATTCAAAGGAAAATTTAAATTCGAACTCAATTGATCTTTTCTTTCACGCATTGATTTACAACGTAGTTATTGTCAATAATGTGAGAATTTGATGAAATATATTTTGAACAGATTGCAATTCTCAACAAATATTGTTGACTACAGGAAAAGAATCTTCATAAAACTTCATTTTGTATTGAATTTCATGAAAAGATGTGATGATTGTTGATCTGTTAATGCGATAACAAATATCAAAATGATGTGACCATTGACAAATATGTTACACAGAACATTTATTTTCTGAAAATTTTAGATAAAGATATATCAAAAATTGATTTTAATCAATGAATTTTTTCATTTCTAATGAAAAGAAAGACACGTGAGAGAAAAATCGAATGAAAATAATGTTAATGAAAAAAATCAATATTTATTCGTTTGATTATATAGAATATTCTTGATTAAGTAAAGAAAAACAGATGTTCATCTATTGACAAATGTAATCACGTAAGAAAATCCAGTTTTCTTTTTCTAAGTTACTTTTCATGAACACAAGGAATCTGTTCCAGATTTATCTGAAAATCACGTTTTTTTTTCTCAAATACTATATTTAGAAATAACCATAAGAAAACTGAAAAGAATTTCTTTATGAAATTTTGTTTTATAGTTTATATGACAAAGAAATTTGTTATTGATGAATTTCTTTATGTGCAAAATAAAAGGAGACAACAAAGCAAATAGATGAAAAGATGAGAAGAGAAGTTAATGAAAATAAGACTTTTTATACTCGAAATCCCGAAGACAGAAGATTAAATTCTAATTGAACTTCATTAGCAATTGTTGAAAATAAAACCATTTGTTCATTATAATATATTCGATCAATTCCAAGACAAACTGCATTTCTTCTTCCTTGTCTTTTCGATTTTTTAAAAGTAATATCTTCTTCATTTTCATAAACACCCGGAACATAATAATGTCGTCTTTGTTGTGCCATAAGAAGTCTTTCAAACATTGTTCGTAAATGAGCAGCAGTTTTCCACCAACTAAAATCATTTTCATCTGATGATTTAGCGATATCATCATCATATTCAGGTAATAATTGATAACGACGAAGTCTTAAACAAAGAGAATTGAGTGAAGAACTTAATTGAGGATTATATGCTGGTGATAAATGTGTTGAACTTTGATCATTGTTTTTTGCTTTTAAATTTGTCTCAATATCTGTTGAACTATCTTCAAGTGAAAAACTTCGTCGTAATGCAAGTGGAGCATGAAATTGACGTTGTTTTAAACATCGACGATCAGATAAATAATGATAATTTTCAATTAAATGTGTTCGATCATCGTTTTCATAAGAATTAAATGTTAAACTTGTTGCCATTTGTATTTGATCAAATCTTTTCGATGTTAATCAATAACTCCTCTCAATTAAATCTCAAAATATGTCAAATAGTTAGTTAGTGAACTAATAATCTGATTTCTTTTTCTCAAGTATTTCTTATTTCTTTATTCTCTTTTTTTCTTCTCTCTCTCTCTCTTCATTCTTTTTCATTAAATCTACGGAAATGACATGAAAACTTATGTATATTTGGTAAAATCATCGTTTCTCTCTTTTTCTCTTATCCAACGTAGGAGTGTAACATGACATCGAGAAAACATTTGTTATTAGTTCTAAAATCTTTTAATCATGTTTCTCCAATAGATTGTTTTATCAGTCATGATTTCATTGTTGATCATGTATTTTCCTGCGAGTTTAGACATGACAAAGATTAATAGGATTTACTCAATTTTGCACGAATTTTATTACGTCTTTGTCTTGTTAGAGAAGAAAATGAGAATTGATTAAGAAAACAAATGAATATTTTGATCTAATAGTCATAAAATAAAGTCTGGATGAAATTTTGTTCTTCATGACACGCCTATTTTTTATTAATTTTTCTTTCTTTCTCTTCAATGAAACAATATTTGAAATGTTCTATTCACTCATATAACTTTGTTCATCATGAACTCAATGAAACACAATTTCTAAAAATAAAAGAACGACGATTATATTAATAAATAGATATAAAAATCTCTTAACAGATGTGTCTTGTGTCTGGTAAAATTAATATTGTTGAAAATGACAATGGAGAAATCTTTTTTTTCGTATTGAATTGATAGACTTAACATTTAGTTTGTTTCTATGAAGATTCATCGATCTATTTTGAAATTCTTTGTTGAGAGAAGATGATCCGAAAAGAATACTTTGCATTCGTTTATTTACAATTCCAGTCTCGTCGACAAAAAAAGAGTTGAATTTTGTTAATTAAAAGAAATAAGAAAAATTATTTTGTTATTATCGTTGGGAAATAGAATATTATTCCAATGTGCTTATTTTGTATTCCCGAAAGAGAAAAAAGAAACAGGCATTTTCTTCGTTTCTGTCGATGTTTTTCTCCTTTCTTTTCTTTTTCTGTTCTTTGAAGGCAAAATAGACGATAGGGGTAGTTGTAACGTCAACATATCATGTCTCACAAAGACGAAAATACTACAAGGTCGAAGGACAGAAAAACGCTTATGTGATAAATTTCCTTTCATTGGCCTTTGTTTTTTCTCTGTACAGTTTATTAAAGTATACATTCCATTGAATTATTTCAGAAAAATTAGAAAAATGAATCAATTAGATGCAACAGCGGGTATCGATAGTCTTGTTAAACATACAGCGGATATGGTCGATTTGACGTTAACATCGAGTATGTACCAAACTGTATTGTATTTCGATAAATATTAGGTCAAATTGACGTTTTCCCCCCTTAACAATCATCACTTCTATAGAATTGATAAAAAACATCAGTGAGTCATCGATAAATTCTTCGCTTTTCAATGATTGTGACCTATAAAGAGGTCGATTCCATTGACATTCACATAAATGTGTTCATAAAAAGTGTTGTTTTCATAAAATGTTAATATCATTGATATTTATAGGTCAAGTAATTAACAAATTTCATTTCAGGTAGTTCTCATCGACGACACATTGAATATTTACCATATCCAGATGAAAATTTCGTTGAAAATCTCGACGAATTGTGTCAAAGTTGGTTTCTTTTTCTTGAAAAATGTTTTCAATTATTTCTTTTAATTTCTAATAGATGATGAATGTCCATTAGAATTAATTTATTCAAGACGTAACAAAACATTTGTACGTGGAATTCCTGTTGAAGTAACAAAGATCACAGCCGAACGAATTTATAATCCTGTTACTGAATTTCTTTATCCATATTTGTAAATTATTTGAAAGAATTTGAAAATTCTATTGAAATCAAATTGTTTTTATTTAGATATACAATAACAATTCGTCATGGACCAAAATTTGAATGGACAATTCAAAAACGTTATAAACATTTTCATGATCTTCATAAATCTCTTGTTCGTTATGTTGAAACTGAAACTGGACATTCGATGAGTAGTTTAAATAAGTAAATGAAGCGATTTTCTTTGGTTTTCATTCCAATTGAATTTCTTTTTTCTTTTCAAAGAAGTCATGTATCAGAAACAACGAAGAATAATGATGATCAACCAGCTTTTCCAACTCGAAATGATCGAATTGCTTTTATTGATCAATATTCAATCGAAACTCGTTGTGTAAAAACATTTGTCTTTATCATTTTTCTCTTCATATTCCTTTTCTCTTTTTAGAAATCTTTACAAGACTATTTAAACAAAGTTTTAAAACATCCTAAACTTCGTGAACACATAGCTGTGGTAAGTCAACTTATCACAAAAACTTTCTGCAGAATTTTATTATCAAAACGACAAATCTAAACAAAACTTTTGCGATGTGTTAATTTAATCTTTGACTGATTCGAGTAAATACTCGTGTATTGATCTTTAAGTACGATTTACTGTAAATTTAGTACTGCGAACTTAAATATATTTTAGCTCATGGTCAATTCATTATCTGATGTTAGGAATTGCATGATTCACGAGTTTAACTACATTTTAATCCCATTGTAATAGTATCACGTTGATCACTACCATTTCGTCTCGACGTTTTCAGAGCAAATCGGATGTGTCGCGCCTGAGACTTTCGGCTTAGATTCGGTTTCCTGTTAATGCTGAGGGAATATGATTTGTTCGAAATGTTTTATTTTTAATTTAGAGAGAATTTCTCGAAGTAAGTCCATTGTCATTTGTACATGGTTTGGGAACAAGTGTGAAAGAAGGTGCAATAGCGAAACGTTCGAATGATGATTTTCGCGGTCGTTCAATATTTCTTCGAATGCCATTTATGTGTGATAAATGCAAATTTCATCATGGACAAAAATGGTTCGTTTTAAAAGATTCATATTTTGTTTATATGAATCCTGATTCTGCATTGATTGGCTTCCCAATGCTTATCGATCGAGGATTTACACTTCAACAAGGTTTTCGAAAAACAGGAACAAATAATGGAATTCGAATAAAAAATTTACAACGTTCAATGATCATTAAATTTGAAAAAGAAGACGAAAGAGACTTTTGGTTCGATGCTTTGAATAAAGTAAAGAATAAATGTCTTCTCTTCGAACCACATTTATTCGATTCATTTGCACCGCAAAGACAACAACAATTTGCTCAATGGTTTATCAATGGACAATCTTATATGGAAGCGGTTGCAAAAGGAATTTTAGCAGCAAAAGAAGAAATTTTTATTACTGATTGGTGGTTATCACCAGAAATTATGTTAATTCGACCATATGGTGATGATTCAATGAGATTAGATAATCTTCTTGGAAAACGAGCGGTAAAGTTCATTGAGAAGAAACAAAAATAAAAATAAAACCGATTTCGAATTTGTGTTCTAGGAAGAAGGAATTCGTGTTTATGTTATGGTTTTCAAAGATATTGTTCAAGTTGTTGGTTTAAATAGTTTACATACAAAAGCAAAATTAATTTCAAAAAGTCCAAATAAAAAAAATATTAAAGTTATTCGTCATCCTGATCATCGCGTTTTACCAGGAACTGAATCTTCGTTTCTTTATTCACATCATGAAAAAACTCTCATTATTGATCAAAAAGTCGCGTTTATTGGAGGAATTGATCTTTGTTGGGGAAGGTGGGACACGGATGCTCATAGGTAACTGTTCAAATCTTCTTTGTTTCATTTCAAATTATTATTTTTCGTTTTAGATTAATCGATTTAAGTGATGAAAATATTACCGAATTGAAACTTCCAAGTGAAATTGCTGAACAACCAGAAATCGAAGAGAAACAACAGGAATCCGCTGTTGATACAACTGAAAAAATGGCTGAAAATGCAATAAATACAAAAATCGTAAGTAATTCATTTTCATTTAAATATTTCATGAAAACGTTATTTTGTTTAAGGATGATTCAACAACACCATTAATCAAAACAAATGAAAAAGAATCTTCATTAAAATCAAGTAGGACGAGATTTCATAACTCTCTTTCAAAGATTTTATTTGTATTTTTTTCTATTAGATGGAACAAATTCAGTGAAACCAAGTAAATACAAAGACTTTGTTTGATGTTAAAGAAAATCTGTTGTTTTGTAGAAGTGACTGATTTTAAAAGTGAATTAAACAAAAATGAACGGAAAATATTGGCTGAAGAAAAAGCTGCACAGGAAGGAGAAGTTCCACATGAGAAAAAATGGAAGAAAATCTTCAAAGTAAAATTGATTTTCTTTCCGAATGAAATCAAAGGAAGATTTTCTTTTCAAATAGCGTCATCGAAAAGCGTACGATGATGATTCATCGAATGAAGAAGAAGAAATGGAAGAAGAAGAAATACCAAAAAGTGAACCGGGAGATGAGAAACCAAAAACAATCGTTGGTGTAACACCAGTTGTGGATGATAAATGTCGATTTTTTCTTGGAAAAGATTATTCAAATTCATACGAAAAAGATTTCGAATTTATCGAAAAATTCGATGAAGGTTTTTCATTGAATAAAACTTTTCGTTTTGTTTATTTATTTTTTCTAAAGATTATATCGATCGAAAAGTTTCTCCTCGAATGCCATGGCATGACGAAGCTTTAGTTGTCTCTGGAGAAGCGGCACGTGATTGTGCTAGACATTTCATTCAACGATGGAATGTTCACAAAGTAACAAATCTTTATCTTTAAAATTGATTTTTTAAAAGATGATTTTGAATTTTAGGCGGATAAATATCGTTTTATTGAATCTTATCCATATCTTGTTCCAAAAAGTTATTCAGATGAAGAATTATTTGATCATTCGGTGCTTAATTCAATTCTTAGAGAAGATCGTCCAGCAATTTGTGTTGATGCTCAATGTGTTCGTTCAGTTTCATTTTGGTCATGTGGAACACAAACAGTTGAACATTCAATTCAAAATGCGTATATTCATATGATTGATAGTGCTCAACATTTTATTTATATTGAAGTAAAAGATTTGTTTTTTCATAAACATTTCCTTTTAAAAATAACATTTATAGAATCAATTTTTTATCTCAATTGCTCAAGATGCAACAATTAAAAATGGAATTGGTGATGCACTTTATCGTCGAATTGTTCGTGCATGTATCAATAAAGAAAAATTTCGAGTTTATGTTATCATCCCTCTATTACCTGGATTTTCTAATGTCAATGCAGTTCAAGCTGTTCTATATTTTATTATGAGATCGATTAATAAAGGTGAAACATCACTTTTCGAACGATTAAAACAAAGTGGTAAATATTTCTTCTTTTTTTTTTCGAAAAAAAAATCTTTTTTTTTCGTTTTTCAACAAAGGAGTTATTGATCCTGAAGAATATATTTCATTTTATGGAATGAGAAATTGGGATATTCTTATGGGTTCATTAGTAACAGAAATAATTTATGTTCATTCAAAATTGATGATTGTTGATGATCGAATGTGTATTTGTGGATCAGCAAATATCAATGATCGATCTCTTCAAGGTTCTCGTGATTCGGAATTTTGTTTAGTTGTTAATGATATTGAAATGATTGATTCAACTTTAAATGGTCAAACACAAAAAGTCGGAAAATTCTGTTCAACATGGAGAAAGAAATTATTTAGGTAAAATTCAAAATTATCTTTTCAAAAAAAAAAAGAACAAAAAAAATGTTTTTTTTTCTCTCGTAGACAAATTTTAGGAATTAAAAATGAAACTGATTTGAATGTGGATGATCCATGTTCAGATGAATTTTATAATTATTTTCGTGAAACTGCACGAAATAATGCTCAAATTTATGAAGAAGTATTCAATACTTTACCAACAAATCATATTCGATTATTTACTGAAGTTGAAAAATATACTCAAAGACCAAAATTAAAACAAACAGATCCTTTAGCTGTATGTTTTGACAAAATCAAATTTCATCTGTCATCTTTTTATATTTCTTCAAAGGCTCATGAGAAATGTAAACAAATCAAAGGTTTTCTTGTTGAATTTCCTTTACAATTCTTAGCTGATGATGTTCTCATGCCAAAATGGAACACTTCAGAAGGTAAAAACACTTCTTCATTTCAAAATATTTCATATTCATTCTGGTTCTTTCGAATGTTTAGGTATGGCTCCAATCTTATTGTGGACATAAAACAAGAATCTATTGTTTTGCTTTGTTTAAAAACAAAAAAAACGATCTTTTGTTTGACTTCCTTCTTAGTTTCGTGCTTCTAATGTGTTAATACTTGTGTGTCTTGTTGTTTTTTTAAACCAATTTGTCAAACGAACGCATTTATCGGTGCTCTAGTTAATCGTAGAATTTAATAAAGTAGAATTCTTCTCATTTCATATGAATATCGATTCAATCGATTACGAAATGAAATCTCTTCTTTTAAAAAGAAAGAGAAAAAAATTGTTATTTAAAAAAGAGAATCGATTGTTTAAACATGATACACCCACAAAATTCAAAAGTTTCTTTTTCTTTTCTCTCTTTCAAAAATCAATATGAAAATGTTTTCACATCTCATTTCGTTTTACTTTTAAACAAACATCTGATTGTGTGTTACGAAGAACAGATCAATGGAACTTCAGCCTTATTCATCCGAATTTAAAACACCTTCAATTATTCTCAATATTGAAGATCATCGAAAACGAACAACAGTTCGACATGGGTAAATTCATTTCTTAACATTTTCTTTTTTCACTATTTTCCTCATTTAGTCGATGCAGATATTGGATTTGTCCAATAATCACTGCAGCACTTCTCATTGCTCTTGTCTTAACAGCTCTTATTATTCCAATAGTTGTAATGGCTCTTCAAAGTTTGTTTCATCAGTTTCTCAAATCTTTTTTTCCTGATCGAAATCTCTCTTTAGCATCAACAACTACAACGACTACGACCACAACTACTACGACAACTACAACAACCACATCGACGACTACGACTACAACGACGACGACTACAACTACCACTACGACCACCACAACGACTACAACAACGACTTCGACATCGACCACAACTTCTTAAAAATGAAGAAGAAGAAGAAGAAAAAATACATCTATTCGTTCATTTTCGTTTTCTCATTTCAACAATGAATATACAAGAAGAAAAATTTCAGTTCATTTGAGTGTTCTTCTTGAACAATTTTGTACAAAATAAATCACTTTTTTTGATAAAAGTATTTTCCCATTATTTCTATTTGTTTTCATCTGTGAAGATTTGTGTAATAAAACATCGAGTAAAAATCGGTGAAAGTTTTTGTTTTTGTCTCATCGAATTCAATGGCTGAAAATGAAAACATTTTTCTTTTTCTTTTTGTTATTCTATTCATCATAGAGCGTAACTTTTTCAAAGAAAAGACAATTTGTGTTAATTGAGCAAAACCAAACGTTGAAAATCTCCCATGACGTGTCATAATTTTGTAATTACTTTGTTATAATGATAAAAACAAACAAATTTTGAAGATGAAGAAAATGCAGTCAATGATTACAAAAGAAAAACGCCCATCGAATCATGAAACACCTACGACGTCCTTCATGTTTTTCTTTCTTCACTTTTCCTCGGCAAAAAACAATGATCTGAGCAACAGATTCCCATTTAAATTCTATTTTTATTCTCTTCATCGATTCACTTTCAAATCGAAACAAACGATCACATTCACTTCGTTTTTATTTCATTTATCTTTTCACCAAAACATGTCTTTAACTCCCTATGTAAAACAGGAAATTACACCATACGTCAGACAAATACGAACATCACCACTCAGTATACAAAACTTAGACACATCGTATACGAATCAACAATCTTCTTCACCTGTTATTGTGTTAAATATTGAAGATGCAAGAAAAATTCCATCGAGAACAACGTAAGAATTTTCATTTATCTTTTCTCATTTCATTTTCTTTCGTCTTTTAGAGTTTCACCTTGTTTAAAACTCCTTGTGGGTCTTATTGCTGGTTTGCTTCTCTTAGCAGCTATTCTTGTACCAGTTCTAGTAACAGTTCTCACAAGTATGTCACATATTCATTGAAAATTTACCAATATTATCCTCTCTTTTTATTTTCAAATAGCAACAACAACAACGACGACAACAACGACCACGACTACAACTACATCGACAACAACGACAACGACAACGACAACAACTACTACAACTACAACCACAACAACAACGACTACTACCTCGACAACGACTAGCACATCGACGACAACGACTGCTGTTCCTGGTTAAATAAATCTCATACGACATTAGTTGTTCGATATTCGAAGATTTATTTATTTATTTTATTGAAACTGTATGTATGGTCATTACATCTATGCCATTCTCTTTCGAATTCAAATGAAAATCTTCGTATGTTTATAATAATACTTTTCATTCAACAGTTGTTGAACATAGATTTGGAATCTCGTTGTTTTTCTTAAATAAAATTCCTGATAAGGTTCTGATTATCTTAAATTGACATACTTTCTCAAATGACATTTTCTGAAAGATCGTTTTTTATGAGGCATTCGTGACATTTAACTGGAAAGAAATCAACATATTGTTCTTTAACTGCATTTGACGTGTTGTTGAAACGAATCGTTAAAAATTTTCTTCAACAAGATCATCGAATTTTCTAAATAATAAATATTAAGTCATTTTAACCTTTCGATAATACAAAATTGAATGTAATTCAGACACAACTCATTGTTCTATGAATTCCACGTTATTTATGTTTATTACTAAGAGTTTTTGTTCAAAATGCACTAAGAATTGTTGAGAAAATATAAACTATTTGATAATACTCATGAAAAATCATTCTATTCTTTACAAGATTAGAATTGTAAATAATCATTGAAAAAAAAACACCAGCTCTATTTTGTATATTTATTGTTATTTTCTTAATTATATTACAATAAGAAATCTTCATATGTAATACTTTTGTAGATTTGAAATTTTTACTGATATTAATGATCTTGTGTAAATGTAAAGAAATCAAATACGATTTATATGAAACGAACGACATAACAATAGAAAAAGGTAAATAAAATATCGAGAGAAAAGGAGAAAATTGTATTTTCATGTAGCAGTAAATGGATCACAATTAGAAACAAATTAATAAAAAGCACCACAGTAGAAAATAGTTGACTTTTTTCTAATTATAAAGAAACTTTCAATAATTAATTTTTATGAAATTTTACTTCTCTTCCATAATCGCCAGAACGGCGAAATATACCAGAAAATCCCCAATTTTCCCAACCTCCTTCACCCTTATTGATAAATGTACCATCTTCAAATGCCCAAACACCAAATTTGCACCCTCCACAATCAAAAGAATCGTAAAATTTAATATTCTTAAAGCGTTGAGTGTAGTCTTGACCCAAATTGAATACCATAATATTTGATCCTGGATATTTAAGTTTCATCCGATTTAGAGTATCTCGTACAAAAGCCTGACGGTCTGTTGTTGTTTTTGCTGCTTCTCTGATTTCTTTGATGAATGCAACAACATCAACATTTAGATTGACGTTAACGCCGGCCATCGTTTCACTTTTATATTAAATTAAATTAAACCTTTGAAAAATAAAAAGAACAAATTTTTTTTTAAATTGTTGTCGAATTATGAAAGTAGAAACAATGTGTTGAAATAAATGAAAAATAAAAGAATTAAGATCCTCAAAAGCGCATTACATCTAAACTATCAATATGATACTCAAGATTATTTGAATTACAACGATACAAAAAACACGTTGTATAAAGATTTCTAAATATTGTCAAATTTCTTTTTATGAGAAATTTCATCATCTTCATAGAAAACATATCCTCACATATCGAATGAGAACAGAAAGTATCATTGCATAGGAAAAACAACAAAGTACAACATAATGTTAAAAAACAAGAACAGAATAACTGGAATCCTATATACATCATATACACGTCAATCTATAGGGTTAGATCCTCTACTATGAGTAATATAAGACAGGAACCATAAAAAAAAGAATAAGGTTTTTTGCCTTATGACACATACGACTAATCAAGATAAAACCTAATGAATCATTTTCTTTTATTTTTGGAAAAAACCATTCGAATTAAATCATTTAATTCATTTCGAAAATAAGTTTTCTAATCAATGTCAATCTGAAATATTCATTCTTCTTCTTATCAACTTTACACAACCGACACCTTTTTAATTCGTTAACCTTCATCAGATATTCTACTTGGGAAAGAAATTGAAATATTTCCATCGCACATTTTCCAAATGTCAATTTTCGAAAAACAAACATTGATATAGAAGTGATTTAAAACTTTTGATTTTATTTGATCAAACAAACAAAAGAGATAATTAATTAGTAAATAAATACAAAGGTGAATGTAATTCTGGTGCAATTTGTCCACCATGAATCCCGCGCCATTTCTTTTGATCACTCAGAGTTCCAGTCCAAAAAGAGATGAAAAATGTTGATAGAAATATTAACCATTTAATAACAATAATCAATAAATCAATTTTCAATTGATTTATATAACAAATAAAGATAAGACTTAATTCACTGCAAAGTAATAATGGACATGTTGAAATTATTAATTTCAATAGAATTTGACAAAGTGATTTTGTTGTCATTACACAACATTGATCAAGGAGAACGATTAAAACGATTGTCCAAATTAAATGTGCCAAAACACAAAAAAAAGGAAGTAAATTTAAATCAAATAAATCATTAATATTATTAGATGAATTCAATTTCGAAGAATTTCCTAAAAGAAAAAAGAAAAAAGTTTCTTCTTTCAAAGAATTTTTCTTCGTAAAATCAATCTTACGTTCGATGATCTTCGTTTGATTATCTGTCATTGAATCAAAATTTTTATAAAGAATATCCGTAAAAACAGTTATATGAAGAAAAAATGAAATAACTGTGAAGGATATGATGACAAATGCTAATAAACGTTCACGTTTACTTGCAAAATGATATTGAATGTCTTCTCTTTCCATCATTTCTTTTCTATGAATACGCTCATTCCACACTTCATTATATATGTTCTCATGTCAAATAAACAAAACAATTAGACGAGCGAGTACAAAGATTATATAGTCAGTCGTGATCGATCAGAAAATATATTCTTTTCTATTGAATATTTATCCAAATAGAATATCTCAATGTTTTCAACATTGTTTTATTCAGTTGAAACATTGTTGAATAGTTGTGATTAAAGATGTGATTCGCTTGAGCAAAATGATCAACTTCTGCAAACTTGGTGTGATCAGATGGACAGACCTATTCGAAAACTTCTCCAAACTATTTGTAAGAAGTTGATAAATGATTCTCATAAACAACGAAGAGAACTTCATATCGAACAAGAAATGTTTTCTTTTCGATAAGTTTCAAAACAAAAAACTAGAAATGATCTTGACAAGAACATTGTCCATTTGGATGAAAATGATGAATACGATTTGCATCTCGTATAACAATTTCACATTGACGAATTTTTGCGATCATTTTTGTAGCACGATCTATAAAAAGACGAAAAGTTCTTCTAAACTATTCTCAAATAAATGACTTCGTACGACAATCTCCGCAAACACGAAGATTATTTGTAATTTGAATAAATGATGGTTTCGATTTCTTTTATAGAATCGAGAATATTCAAACGCGAAGTTTGATCAGCAGTGACAGACTGATGACATGCACGATGGATGTTTCATCGGACAGCGAAATCAACACCAACAAAATGCATAAAACACGTGACGGAAATTCTTCTTCGTCATCTTCGATATGACATCTATCGTATAAATAAACGCCGAATATGCGAAACAGGAAACGAAGAACAATGACTATCTGTGTGTCTGTGACTGTATTCATTCGCGTCAAAGAAATGCCATCGTTGACCACTTTGCTTTCGTTGCCTAACGAATTATTTCTCTCGAATATCTTTATTCACTTCGATCTGATAGATTTACTCAAATTGTTCAGTTCGACACAAAATCAACGATTAAAAAGTTTGGTTTCTGCAACGTTGTATACAAGGATGTCCATCGATTTGATTCGAACGGAAGTGAGGTATTCATTGCTTCTGTCTTTTCTTCCACCTGAAAACAATATCATTACTGTTCGAATCAACAACAATCAATTGAATGAAACATTAGCAGCTGCCTTAGTTAAAGCGTGTCCAAAACTGACTCGTATGGAAGTGATCGTCCTACACGAGCAACCACGTCAGTCATTGTTTTCAATTTTATGGACAATGAACCTCGATTCGTTGACATTGTCATCAATCTCTGACGATCAGAATGATATGTTGAGCTATGTGTGTAACCCTCAATGCACGCTTCGCTGTTTAACCGTCACCGAAGACAACAATCCAATTCATAAACCATTGGTTGATTTGTTCGATTGTTACAATGATCGTTTGACATATTTATCGATAGCTGCGGTTGATCTAAATGTGGTTGCATCTCTGTTGTGTCATTTTCCTGCTCTTGAAACGCTGAAACTCCGATTACCGCAGCGTCGTCAATGTACAGCATCACATCCTCGTGAGTATCGTGATGAAGATCATCGTTCATCTCAGTGGTCTACCCGTCTTCGATTGTTGAGCATTGTTGCGCCTCAACCGTACACGCGCGTCACCTTATCGTTCTACGATTTTGTACGTCGTTTTGCGTCATCACTTGAACGACTATCGTTCTATCTGACCCCACTTTATAGGAAAATGACTCCAGTAGCGCTAGAACGTGAACTTCTTACACAGTTACCTCGTCTGAAACAGTTAGACTTTTGCATCCATACAGGGCCCTGTTATCCTAATGAAGACGATGCAAGACATTTATTTGATCAATGGGCAGTCGATCAACGACACGTCGTTTCTATCTACCATGTACCAGGTACGTAACATATAGATGGTTTGATTTTCTGGAATTTTTCTCTATTCAAATGCAGGTCGTTTTCACACACGTTTCACACTTCCATTCATCTTCGATCGACTAGAGATGATCGACGCATCAGTTTTCAATTTTCACTCGAACCTACCGATGTCCAGTGCTTCTCTTCGATTTCCAACTGTACGCCACATTTCCCTCCTGTGTTGCACAACCAAAATTTTGACCACGGCTTTGCTTGAATATATTCATCGTGCATTTCCACGAGTTCATTCAATCCATTTAACCACCGGGGGTGGACCATCACTCTGCCTGAGTATTACACTTGCAAATAGTGATGTTTTACCTTTATTTACCTTCCCAGCGGTTACTCAACTGAAGATTGATCATCGTTCAACATCTCTGCAGAGCATTCGTCGAATGTTCGAGTTATTTCCTAGTCTCGAATCTCTCGTCGTGTCTAACTATTTTATCGAGTCCTGGCGTCTTGTGCAGCCGATATGCGAACTACCGAAGAGTGTTCGTCGCTTTACTGTTCAACTGGACTTTACCAATGACCGGACAAATATGGATCAATGGAAAGCATGGTTGCCCTCGTCTGTCGAACTTCAATGTCACATGTACACGCATTAGTAGAACTTCTTTTTTATTCGTTATTAACACCTTCAATCAATTGTAGAATAACCGTAGTGAATGATCATATATAATAATGGGTTTACGAATAGGATTTTGTACACTGAATTCGTCGCGTGGATTTCGTGAAACAAGTTTTTTTGTGTTCGATCGATTGAAGAACAAGGGTCATTCCAAGCTGGGCGATAAGCAATGCAGCATGAAAAACTGGTAACAGTCAAGAATGTCCTTTAGAAAATGTCCTTGCAAAAATGTTCTTGGATTTTGGGTCTCGGAAGAAAGGTCCTTTGGTTTTTTGTCTTTTGGTAAAGGTCCCTCATATAAAATGTCCTTTTGGAAAATGTCCTTCGAAAAACGTCCTTGCAAAAATTTTCTCATCTATAAAAGATCTTTTTTGAACTCATTTATTATTCCCTTTTCTGAAAGAAAGGGTTATACAGCGGTTAAATACTGGGCTCAAAATGCTTAAAGTTTGTCTGTCTGTCATTCTGTCTGTCCAAGCCAATCAGATTGCAGCATTCAATAAATCAGAGAAAACTTGATAATGGTCATACAAAAATGATTCACCTTATGTAATCAGGGTCGAGGATCACGAATCCGTGATTAGTTTTTCGAAAAAACTTTTCGTNAAAACTTTTCGTTTTGTTTATTTATTTTTTCTAAAGATTATATCGATCGAAAAGTTTCTCCTCGAATGCCATGGCATGACGAAGCTTTAGTTGTCTCTGGAGAAGCGGCACGTGATTGTGCCAGACATTTCATTCAACGATGGAATGTTCACAAAGTAACAAATCTTTATCTTTAAAATTGATTTTTTAAAAAATGATTTTGAATTTCAGGCGGATAAATATCGTTTTGTTGAATCTTATCCATATCTTGTTCCAAAAAGTTATTCGGATGAAGAATTATTTGATCATTCGGTGCTTAATTCAATTCTTGGAGAAGATCGTCCAGCAATTTGTGTTGATGCTCAATGTGTTCGTTCAGTTTCATTTTGGTCATGTGGAACACAAACAATTGAACATTCAATTCAAAATGCTTATATTCGTATGATTGATAATGCTCAACATTTTATTTATATTGAAGTAAAAGATTTTTCATAAATATTTCCTTTTAAAAATGATATTTATAGAATCAATTTTTTATCTCAATTGCTCAAGATTCAACAATTAAAAATGGAATTGGTGATGCACTTTATCGTCGAATTGTTCGTGCATGTATCGATAAAGAGAAATTTCGAGTTTATGTTATCATCCCTCTATTACCTGGATTTTCTAATGTCAATGCAGTTCAAGCTGTTCTCTATTTTATTATGAGATCGATTAATAAAGGTGAAACATCACTTTTCGAACGATTAAAACAAAGTGGTAAATATTTCTTTCTTTTCTTCTTTTTCCGAAAAAAATATCTTTTTTTTCGTTTTTCAACAAAGGAGTTACTGATCCTGAAGAATATATTTCATTTTATGGAATGAGAAATTGGGATATTCTCATGGGTTCATTAGTAACAGAAATAATTTATGTTCATTCAAAATTGATGATCGTTGATGATCGAATGTGTATTTGTGGATCAGCAAATATCAATGATCGATCTCTTCAAGGTTCTCGTGATTCGGAATTTTGTTTAGTTGTTAATGATATCGAAATGATTGATTCAACTTTAAATGGTCAAACACAAAAAGTCGGAAAATTCTGTTCAACATGGAGAAAGAAATTATTCAGGTAAAATTCAAAATTATCTTTTCAATAGAAAAAAAAAGAAAACTTTTGTTTTCGTCTTTTAGACAAATTTTAGGAATTACAAATGAAAATGATTTGAATGTGGATGATCCATGTTCAGATGAATTTTATAATTATTTTCGTGAAACTGCACGAAATAATGCTCAAATTTATGAAGAAGTATTCAATACTTTACCAACAAATCATATTCGA